AGTTGCACAGCTTCCCTGTCCGTCCTCGGACGGAAGCCTGCATCTGTGTGCTGGGGATCCTCTGCCCCGTTTGGTTTGATCTATAGGATCTCTAGGCGTCTGCAAGGTGTACGTCTGTAACGAGACCTACGGCACCGTAGTAGGGACCTGTCAGGAAACGCATGTACACTTCGGTGCGGAAAGGTAGAAGATGAGTATGCAAATAAAAGAGTTTGCAAATGAAAGAATTCCAGATTTTAACTTTCATCCAGCAAACTACAGAGGCATTAAATTCTGATTTTACTAATTCATGATCCTGATCGAGGTTTTTCATAAGGGGAAATTGCATACTCAAACGATGACTCAGATTGCATCTTGGCCTGCAGTTTTGGTTTAGGGAGCTGTTCTTTTTTTTTTTTTCATGCAGACGATATGATTAAAAAGCAAATATTTTAACATAACTTAGTGATCTGAGCTATTACTGAAATGTCCACAGTTTCACTCTTTTTTTTTTTCTCCTAGATTAAAGAAAACTTTAAAAATCTATTTGCTTTGACATATGACACAATATTTAAGAACTGAAATCATCAATTAAATCACACATCAGAAACATTTCCCTTTGGTAAAAAATATAGTGCTAGACGATGTACACTTTGAAATTGTTGTTAATGTTTAAAATGCAATCTGAAGTGCATATGTTATTTTAAAAAAAAACATAAATTACAAATTTTAAAAGTTTATGAAAAAGAGCTAGCAATCATTGCTTAGCAAAAGCATTTGCAGAGAAATGTGTATCTTTGGGTTTTGTGGATATGCATAGTTTTCTAGCATGAAAGCAGAATATGTTATTCTTTATTTTTTTTTTTCCTGTTTAAAACTGGGTAGATCTAAAGGAAACAGAGTTCCTTCTGGTGCCTGTAATAAAGTACCAAACCCGATATGCACATGAAGGTAGCGAAAGCCTTTTGGATTGTCACTGAAAATAGAAAAGGTGAACGTTGACAAGATTTCAGATATTTTTTTCTGGGGACTGAGGGAAACTGAAGTTAAAAATAAAGCTCTCGTATGGTCAACATGTTGGAGGAAATTCAAAGACTCTCATAAAATAAACATATTTTAAGAAGTGTTTTGAATTTCACTGTGTAATTTCTGGCCAACAGAAATTACAGTTGTATCTTTGGAGGGACATTATGTCAGATCAATGGTCATTATGCAAAAAAAATAAACTGAAAACTTGATGCCTTAACCCATTCAGTTATTAAAAAGCGAACACGAAGAGGATAGCTTTTCTTCAGATTCGCTACTAGAAAACTTTGCGCCACTGTGTCGCAATTATAAAATATTGTGGTTTGATGTTGCAGGAGATATGTAAATCGTTCCTTGAAAAAACACAAGTACAAAGCATCGCGCGCTTTGGCAAAGGAATCTCATCAGTCGTTATTAAAAAATACAACAGTTTATGTCCCGAAAAATAAAGGAAATTATCTGGAGCATGTGCGTAAGCTAAAATATCCCAGCCCGAAGCACGCTGCAAGTTCTTCCTAGGCTATATTTAACTGTAACCTTTGGAGTCTTAAAGTCGAAGGAGAATATCTGTTCTGCCAGGTAATGGTGATTGCGTGCATCTGTGTATACATTCCCGTACATCCAAACGTGCGCACGTATGCCCTGGTTTTTCTGCAGCATTATTAAGAAAAGCCGTCCATACTTCACCATGTTGTTACATGTGTCTGTCTGCTGATTATAAAATGTGTTAAACAGTATTTAAAAAACAAAAAAATGCAGAGCTGCGCTTTGATTTATTCAGCGAACAAAACATATGCTCGCTGTTCTGTTCTATGTAATTCATATGATCAATAAAATTTTCTTTAAAAAGAGCAACTTTGGCGTTTAGAAGGATTATGCTGCTGCAGAAAAAAACTGTTTCACTCTTGCTATATGGAGTCAACCTCAATGCTCTTGCACCAAAATAAGTTTTTGCCTCGCTAACGTCTATTTTTGTGTATTTATTATTTCTGATCTTCAGGGTCGAAGCTGTCTATTGCGGCTGTTATCCGCTGTGTCCCAAAGCCTTGGTGTACCCAGAGATATTTCCAGGTAGCTGCTTTCTTGCACATTCTTTTTGCTGAAACGTAATAACGTGATTCGTGCTAAAATATAAAGTTTGAGAATAAACTTGAGCAAAAGCAATTGTTTATTTGGCAAGCCAACATGTTAGTGTTAAGGAAAATTTTATGTGTTTTAATACATTAGACAAAGTTTATATTTGCCATCTGTTCTTTTAAGATAACACAAAAGCAAGTTTTGAAATAGCATTCTTCATTGTTAGCATACACAACCCGTAATGATAGATTTTTGTTAAAAGGTCAGTGATGCTGCAATGGTTTGCAGATTTTTTTGATACACAGAAAAAAAGAAAGGCCTGAAAATCGCACCAAATTATTTAAACAATTTAATACTTAATAGTATGCAACTGCGGTACAGGATACACACTAATGTAGTACCAGTTCTTTGAAAAATCTCATCACTAAATGTATCACATATGCATTGTGTTACATTAGAATAATGTATTTTAATCACCCAAAGGAGATGTCTAAACAGCACAACTACACAGTCTTATTTAGCATTAAACATCCTTGTGAGCTGAGGTAACCGTATAAAATCATGCTTAAATAATGTAAAACACGAGGCGGCACAGAGCAATATGCATTTTTAATTAGTAAAGTGACTAATATCGAGTGTGTGCTTTGAGGTTTTTGTTTCATTAAAAATGTATCTGTTTTTCCTGCAGCTGAATATCTGTATTCTACACCTGAACAGCTTTTTAAAAGGCTTCAGAATTTCTGCAAGAGACCAGATATTGTAAGGAGACATCTCTATAAGGTAGTTGTTCAGAATAGTTTTACATGATATAATGCCATATTGAAGTACAAAGGGAAAAAACCCTTAAAAAAACAACATTTAATTAACATACTAATGTTTAAAGGAAACATGCTAGGGAGGGATATTAGTCGTTACACTAACAAGGATTAATTAAACTAGATGCCAGTTGTATTAACCTAGGTCTTATGAAATACGTGCACTTAATGCATGCTACATGCTTTTTTTTAATTTATTGTTTTCTAAAATGACTGTCCTTTACATTTGGACCCAAGAGGCTTATAAAAATGAACCTGGATTAATGCAACTCATTAGTTTAAAAGGAAAATAAAAGAAAGATCCTACAATTATCCTAATGAGGATAAGCCTACCTTCCTATCCTAATGTAATCTTCGGTCCTCAAAAAACGCAGGTGACAGGTATCAGGTAAGATTTCTCTGCCTTTTGGAATTGTTTGAATTATTTTCATAATTCTGATTATTTTAACTCTTTGCTTTTTCAGGTATGTCGAACATAAAAAAAGTTTATCGGAAGCATAATTTGCTGTTATTTATCATGTCCTATTCTTTGCAGTTATTTATGTAGAGAAATTACAGTTTCAGTGGCAGACCTTCCATTCAAGTTTTGATCGAGTGTTCAATGCTAGACCGACTTTCACATTTTTTAGAGGTGTATTTATACTGCTAGGAGTCACTCTTTTTTTTTTTTTTTTTTAATTACACGATTGTAGATGAAGCACTAAATTTTATATTATTCCAGTGAAGAGCTATTATTACACAATGCTGCTTTTAGAAAAATAACTGCTATTTTCTGCATGCTGATATGTAAACGTAGAGCGTTTCCTGACTTTTACAGTCCTGGCGATGCTGTGGGCAGGTTGGCTACACGTTACCCCTGCACGACAAAGGTGTTTCAGGTTGTAAAAAACCTGAATTCAGCTGAAAGCCCTTAAAGGCTTGGGAACGCATAGAAATACTCCTCGTGTTAGCCGTGCAATACAAATGTGGTCTTTTTAGCGTTCCCTGGCTGTCGCCGTCCAGGCACGCTGTTAATGAGCGAGTCGAGTAATCTCCTTCTTAATTTGGAGGCTCATGCTGGCAGCAGACCTAACCTCATCTCTCCACCTTCCTCCCTCTGGGGACCAGAAGGTGTTGGGTCTCGCTGCGTGGCGTCTGCCTCCCCACCCCTCCGCGCACACATGTAGCAGGAGGAGCGAGGGTTTAGCCCACGCCCGACTTTTTTTGTGACCTAAAAATAGACATTTACATAATGATACATCAAAGATGATGTTGTTTCTGCAGGAAACAGTTAAACTTCAAGAAAAAAGGAGAGAACCAAAAATGCAATTTAACACCCAATTTCAAGCTCATTATCTTTCATTGTCTATTAACTTGGCAATGGTTCAGAAGGTAGCTCATAATAGTTTAAAATGCTGACTGAACACTTCCAGTGTTCAGCCTTACTTCTTGAGTCAATAGTATCGTATAGTTATACATGGTGGCTTCAAAGGGAAGACAGTCCTTAAACGTTTACCTTGACATTTCCCAATGCTTCAAGTTCAGCTAATAGTTGCGTTCACGTGGATCTTCTCTCTACGTGTGGCTCCCCAGCTCCTAAACAGAGCCAAGGCGCATTCAAAATGGAAATAACAGTAGAGCAAATACTGATATAAAATAGCACGGGTTTAAAATGTGTGCACGAACCCCATAAGGAAAATGCTAATTTTCTTTTATTAAAAAAATGCCTTGGGATGATCTGCAGGCAGAAGCTGAAGGTGTTTATCCTACCCCTCGTACGTGTGCACCATTGGCAGTGCAGCCCCGGTTCAGATCTTCTGAGCGTTCGGGCTGAGTGGCTGCAACAGGTAGTAATTGAGCTGAATGGGGGATCCTTTTAAAATGAGTAAAGCAGAGCCTAATCCAGAACCTGTGAGCACCAGAGAAAAGATCCCTGTTGTCTTTAATAGGCTTTGGATCAGCTCGGAGAATACTGTTAGAGTTGTCTTTTTGTACCTACACCCACGTATGCCAAGCCTTCCTTTCGCAATGAAACTATCCGCAAAAACTCCTAGAAAAACGCTAACTTAGATATGTGCTGCTAATGTAATTATAGTTGGAACGATGCTGCTTTTTAGGAAGCTG